ATAATTAGATTTTATTTAAAATTAATTTTAAATTTTAAATTATTTAATTTTTAGGTATTCAACAATTTTCTAATGAAATTTGTAATAATATTTTAGATATTTTATCTCAAAGATGAACTAAAATGTATCATCTAGTTATGGAAGTTGCATATTTGTTAGATCCTAAGCTGTTGTAATTTTGAAGAAGATTAAATGTCAATTATATCTGATTTTTTAGAGCAATATTATTTAGATGATGCAGAAGAAATTTATATACAAATACTTCAATATAAATCACAAACTGGACCTTTTCAAAATCAACTTGCTTGGAAGACTGTAAATAAAGTTGATTCAATAACTTGATAGTATGGCAACTTTAAAACTTCAGCTTCTAAACTCTGCAAACTAGCACAATGTATACTTACAATTCCAACATCTTCAGCATCTTCAGAACAGAATTGGTCTGCATTTAGTTTATACATAATATTAAAAGAAATCGATTAACATCAGATAAAGTTTTTAGGCTTGTTTATGTTTTTAAAATCATAAACTAAAGTTAATACAAATTGAAAAAAAAAATAATTATGAAAATGAAAATTTTGATAATATGTTTGATGATTGGAATAAAACTGACAATGAAGATGAAAATTATATTGATGAAGAAATAAGTGACAAAGAAGAAGAACAAATTAATGAAATAGAAAATGAAAATATAATTAGTGATGAAGATATGGAAAATAATGAATTAGACTAAAATATAAAACATTTACATATTTAGCAAAAGTATATAATTATATATTATTAAGAATTTTTTCTTAAATATATTAAGGTTTTTTTTTTTTAACATATATATAATTATATATTTATATAAATTATAAAATTTATCTTTTATAACTATATATTTATATCAATATTATTTAAAGTAAAATTTCAAATAAAATCAAATATATTTTAAAATAATTAATAATAGAAAGTATAAAATATTTAATATTTAACTAAAATTATTAATACAATAAATTATATGGGCGGAGTGCTACAGAAAAGAGGGAAATCAACAAATTTTCAAAAAATTTTTTTTTACACAAATCAATTTAGAATAAGATTAGGTTCATTTTTTACTTAAAATTCAAAAGTAGTTGTATTAATAAAATTTTGTAATATAGCTCTTTAAAGTTTATATTTTCTTATGATTTATTATAAAATTTATAACATAAAAATTGATCTTCTGAAGATCTTTTGTTTTGTTGATTTCCCCCTTTTCTGTAGCACCAAGCTCATATTTAATAATCTTCTATATTGCTAATTCTCTAATATCTGTAATTATTAAAACCTTTCTAGTCTAATTATTATATTCTTTCATTTATATAAATATATATATATATAAATTAATTTTTATAATATTTGTATTGCTAATTATACAAATATACATATTTTGTTCTAACATATTTATACCCAAATTTTATAGAAATAAATTATAAATTTCTAATATTATATTAATTATAATCAGTAATGTAAATTGGATTAGCACAGTAAACGCAGTACACATACTATAGATCCAAATTTGCATATATATCAGTGCTTACTGTAAATATAATATGCGTATAAAATTTTCTTTATACATATCTTTTTTGTATTTGCTCTAATAAAAATTTTTTGAATTTATAATACTGATTATAATATAGACTAATATTAAAAAAAAAACTAAAAATATAGATACTAAATTGACTTTTTAAATTTTTTATATATAAGTACTATACGTACTGTACGTACTATATATACTGTATATACTGTATACTAAAAAAATTTGAGTATCATATAAATATCACATCACTAGGTATAATGAATATTAATGATATCAATGATCTGTATGATATATAATACATCTCTGGCAAAATAAATATAACAAAGATAACATGTATAATTGGCCTTAAGTAATAAAATGTATATAATAAAGGCTTCTCACCCTTGGAGAAAAAAAATCCTTCCGTAATTCACATAATTTTCATCTCCTAATAACTCCATACCTTTCATAATCGATAAATAAAAATATTTAACCCTGATTTACTACTTAAGTGGTATAAGTAGTGCGATCGCTGTCTCTTGTTTTTATAATAAACATAAAGTGTACCGAAACTCTGCCTGGTTGTTTCTCAATGTACTGAAAACTTCTGTGGTTGTTATTTTCCAGGTGTCTTGATGTACTAAAGATAGTTGAGATTGTTTTCTAGTCTCCCAATAGACTATAGATTCTGTGGCTGTTTGATTCTAGCTTTGGATTATTGTAGAAGAACTTAGGCCATGGTTTTGTTAAATTGTTTGTAATTTGAAAGTATAAGCATTATCAAGTTTTATTGAGTTTTCATTATGAGTAAAGAAGACATACCTATAGTTAAAATCACTACATGCCAAATCTAAATGCCTCTAGTTGACTAAGCTGATTGTAGTTTATACAAGGTTTCAGATCGATTAGTGACAGACTCACTATTTTATAGTTGTCGTTTTGGTAGTAACTGTGAGATCTAACATGACAATTACTCCCCCCCTCGATTTCAAAATTTCAGCAATTGTTGTATAATTAATCAAGATTAAAGAAATAATAAGAGATATATTTTTCTTAAATACAAGTACAATGAATAAAGACTAATAAAGGAGCTTTTAGATAGATTAATGATCTCTTTTGCCCAGATTGATCTATTTTGTAGAAATAATGTAGATAATCTGATCAAATAGTTAGAAGTGTTTAAAAGGGCCACCATTGTTAATAACTGATTGGAAAAAAGAATGTTAAAAATTGTGCTTGGTTATCTTCAAAGTCTAGCTACAAATTGGTATAAAGGAAAGAAAGATCAATTAAAATAATGGAAGAATGATGATAATGAGGAAAAAAGTTTCTATCACTCTTTTATTAAATTTTTCACCATTTCAGAAAAACAACATTGGTAGCAAATAGAACTAAATAATCTTCAACAATAAGAAGATGAGAAAGTAGATGTAAATATGACAAACTTTAAATATCTTGTCATTAGAGTAAACCCAGAAGGTGATTTGCCCAATTCGTATATTATTCAAACGTTTCTAAGTGAAAACCTTGATCTTTATAGCTATTTTCGAACCTGATATCTAAGAAAAAGCTATAGTTGTACTTTAAGAGTTGAAGCTAGCTAATATTATAGTAGACAAATCTATAAAAAAGGATACCAAAGAAGGTTAAAAAAAGAGTTAGGTAACCTATTACAAAAAATTAAACAAATAGCTCTCAACTATACTACTATTAATGAGATGCATTCTCAAGCCTATAGTAAAAATAAGGATAAGAGTCAAGAAAAACACTATGAACCAAAAAAAGTTGTTATCTGCTATAACTGTGACAAACCTGGCTATATATAGAACCCCATAGCAAAAAGAAGGGATAGACCAAAAAAATTTTTTTTAAAAAAATTTAATATCTTGAGAAATTAGATTGATTAGAATAAAATTAGTATAGGAATAAAATTTCTAATTTTTTGGCTATCCCTCCTTTTACTATAGAGGGTCTTATATTTTGATTTTGTCTGTCCAAAAAGGTGCCAAAAAAGAATAGTAAAAAGAAAAAGGTTAATAACTATGTTGATATAACTATGTATTTTACTAATAATGATAGCTAGGAAGATAAGGTATATGCTCTAGCCAAAAATAGGTTTTAACCTTATAGTAGGAATAGCAAGAAGGTAGTACAAGCCCAACCTAAAACCTGATGGAAAAACTATTTGAGAACCTATAGAAATGTCACACTACCAATATTGGTAAACTTAGAAGGCCTGATGTAATAGTGGAGGGCTAAATTGTACCTATAAAAAAGCCAAAAAAAAAAATAAAACCTATTAAAGATTGATAAACTTGCTCCTTATAATATCACAGAAAATATTAGAAATTTTCCTGCAAATGTGATGATAGATTAAATGCTTCATTATACTAATTAGAGAAGGAACTTGGCCCAAGCCCTACAAAGACCCCTTCCCCTAGTATAAGAAGTGAGTCACATGAAGTTTGAAGATAACAAGAGAACTATAGCAGCATAGTTAGAGTTTCTAGGTTTAGTTCAGTTCAGGTTTAGGTTCAATGAGTCTGAATCTAAACATGAATCACAAATTTTGCAGATTATTAAACCTGAATCTGAACTAAACTTTGTATTTCTGAACCTGAACTTAAAGTTTTGGTTTAGTTCAGGTTCAGTTCAAAGTTCATGAACATGTTTAGATTCAGTAGTAGTTTAGTGATAAAATATAGTAAAATTTTTTTTATTGTCTTTAGAATTTTCAAATTTAGAATTTTTTAAAGAAATCTT